ATAAGGAATGTGTTAGTAATAATAGCAATTTTGGGGAACTATTGGATGATTTCTACAAATCTGAGAAGAGGGACAGGAGGAAAGCATACTTTTTTGTTTGGAAAGATTATTATTTAACTCAGTGTTGATAGAATTATATAAGTTTAAATGTTTGTCAAAAATGGAAAGGTGAAAAAATTTTAAGGATGACCGTTAATAGAATGAAATAGGGTATACAATTTCCAAACTACTAGGGGTTGGCAAACTGTTTCTGTAAAGGGCTGGGTAGTAAATATTTGATATTACGGGCAATGCTGTCTCTTTTGCATCCATTCCACTCTGTCACTGCCGCACAGAAGCAGCCATAGACAATAGACAAAACAAATGGGTACGACTGAGTTCCAGTCAAACTCTGTTTATAAACACTGAAATTTGAATTTCATATAATTTTTAGGTATCACAAAATATTCTTAATTTGTGGGCCATACACAGACAGACAGTGGGCTGGATTTGGTCCATCGTTTGCTGACCTCTGCATTGGAGAACAAAGGAAGGGGGCAAAGAAAACTTAATTTCAACTAAAGACAGAAAGAGAAGGGAGAGAAGTGGAGAAAGTTGGGCAAGAAATCATAAAGAAGTATAACAAATAGGAAACATGAAGGTGTCAGTAAAAGAAGAAACAGTTCCCCTAATAATACTAGGGTACTAAATCATGGTATATCTATGTTATAGAACAGTGCTTCTTAAAGTCAGCAAACTGTTACTGGTCCACCATGAGATAAGTACAGAAGTAGAGTAGTTGGAAACTTTTATACTATTGCGACATTGTCATAACTTCCAAATGTGTGATCATTTTTCTGGTAATTCATTTTATTGTATTTTACAAAACTATCAGTAATGGTATGGAAATTAAAAACAAAACTGGTTTGAGAAGCAGTATTAGAAAATAACGGTGCAGGTATTAAAATATTGAATTAGATCCAAATGTATAGATATGTTAAATGAAAAAAGCAAATCATAGAGCAGTATAAAAGGTATGATTCAATGTGTTTTTTAAAAACAAAATATGTAATGAATTTTTTAAATGTGGAACAATTCACATCAAATTGTTATCCATGATTACAAAAAAGAGATTGTGATTGGTGGGATAAGTCTGAAGGATGTCATAATAAAGGATTATTTCATGTTTTAGTCTATATTCTTATTGTTTGACATTTTTTTACAGCAATGTGTTTTCATTTATTGTGTAATGCTTTTTATTTTTTTTAAACAATTTTTTTGTGTGTGTGTGAGGAAGATCAGCCCTGAGCTAACATCCATGCCAATCCACCTCTTTTTGCTGAGGAAGACCAGGCCTAAGCTAACATCCATTGCCAATCCTCCTCCTTTTTCTCCCTAAAGCCCCAGTAGATAGTTATATGTCATAGTTGCACATCCTTCTAGTTGCTGTATGTGGGACGCCGCTTCAGCATGGCTGGACAAGCGGTGCATTGGTGCACACCCGGGATCCGAACCCGGGCCACCAGTAGCGCAGTGCGCGCACTTAACCTCTAAGCCACCGGGCTGGCCCCAGTGTAATGCTTTTTAAGTATTTTATTATTTAAATTAATGATCTCTTGGTCTTTTCAGTAGTTGTCAGTAATTCACTAGCTGGTACTTGTCAATTTAATATCCATATGGAAAACAAGGACCTTTAACCTCTACCTCACACAATATACAAAAATTGATTTGAGATCATAAACCAAAATATGAAAGTTAAAACAATAAAGCTTCTAGAAGAATACATGGAATAATATCTTCATGACTTTGGAGTAGGCAAAGATTTCTTCAACAGGACACAGAAAGCACCAAAAACAATGGAAAAGATTTATAAATTGGGCTTCATTAATATTAGATGTTAGCTTCATAACAAGAAACCATTCAAGGAGAGAAAATGCAAGCTACGGATTGAGAGAAGATATTTGGTATATATGTGAAACCTAGAATTATTTATCTTTTCTGTGTGTGTTTATCTGATGGACTTGGTATCTTACAACTTAATAAAAAAAGACAATGCAATTAAAAAAACAGGCAAAAAAAAAGTTTGAACAGGGACTTCACAAAGAAGATAGCCAGATGGCCAACTTGGCATACGAAAAGGTTCTCGACATCATTAGTTACAAGGAAAATGCAGATTAAAACTACTGTACCTGGATCAGAATGGCTGCAGATAGAGCAATTAGAACTCGCATACATAGCTGATGGGAGTGTCAATTGGTACAATCACTTTGAAAAATGTGCTGTCTACTGACGCTGGACATATATAAATTCTATGATGCAGTAGCTCCACTCCTGAGTATTAACAGAATTGACTACTTATGTTCAACAAAAGACAGGTACAATAATATCTGATTGAACTTTATTCCTAATAGCCAAGAAATCTCTCCATCAGGAGTATAAATAAGTTGTGGTATATTCATATAATTTACTACTACACAGCGTGCAAAGAAGGAAATATTGCTACATTCAGCAACATGGATGAATCTCGTTGATACATTATTGAGCAAGAGGAGCCAGAGGCAAACGAATACCTAGTGTGGGATTTCATCTATTTGATTTATGGTGACAGAAGTCAGATTAATGGTTTCTTTGGGGGATATTGACTGGGAGGAGGACATATGGGAGCATTCTGGGATGCTGGGAAGGTTCAATACCTTAATCTGGATGGTGGCCATACAGATATATGTAACAATTCATTAAGGTCTACACCTACACACTTAATATCTGCATACTTCACTGTAAGTTATACCTCAATAAAAATGTTAACAAAAAACCCAACTCATTCTTTACCTCTGATTTGAAATTCTGTCATTGTCATATACCAAATTCTTAACATATTAAAGGGCCTTTTTGTAGGTCTTGCATTCTTTTTCATTTGTCTAATTTTGTACATGTACTGTTCTGATTTAATCATTGTTGCTTCATAATACATTTAGTGTTTAATCACGTGAGTCTTTTCTACTTATGTCTTCTATTCCAAAACTATCTTGGATATTCTCACCTCTTTATTATTACAGATAATCTTTAGAATCAAATAGCCAAATTCTCACATACCTTCATGCTATTGGAATTTTGATTGTAAGTACATGAAACTGATAAATTATAAATTAGGAGGTCGTTGACATCTGGGTTGAGTTCAGAAGCAGTGTGTGTCTCACCACTTCCTCTCAGTTGTGTATTTGTCTTCATGTGGCTTCTGCAGGTTGTTTATTTTTATTTTTGCACATTATTGTTTTGCTATCGTGAACAGGTCCTTTTTTTCTTATATTTTTATGTTCCTTGATATTATTGTAACTTGTTAATCAGAATAATGATAATAGCTATTATTTATTGAACATTCTATGCTAAATAATCTTATTTACTTCTTTCAATAACCCCTATCAGGTAAATACTATTACAACATTATGCTCATTTTTACATTTGGGGTCAATGAGGGACAAAGGCTTAAGGCTGAACAGCTGGTTTGTAGTGGAGCTATGATTCTAACCCAGACAATCTCACTCCAGAGCTACACTGCCTACAAACACTGTATGGTGGGCCTAGGTGTCCTTGGGTGAAGGAATAGAGATGTGTGAAAGGGGGCAAGTATGGGATCAAGTCTAGTATTGATGGATATGACTAACAATACAGTGAGTGAGTAGTAATCAGATGCAAATAAGCAAGACCCATACTAAAGTGGAATTTTTGGAATATGTTTGTTTATATTTGTAGAATACAGTATTTTAGTTTGGACTTATTCAAACCAAATAAAGTCCTACAGTTTTTTTAATCATTAACAAATGATTCAGTGATAATTTTATATATTCTCAGGGTGCTACTTTATTTACCAAATGAGAATAGCTATTGTTTTAGTTGTATTCTTTGTTTGCAAGGAACTACCACTCACATCCCCTGTAGCTGAAACAGTAAAGTGTGTTGTGAAGATGCACGTGGCAGTAAGGGAGGTGGACTCGCATGGATGTCCAAGAGTTGGATCCGTAGACTGGTGGGCACTTGTGGACACTAAAGCTGACTTTTGTTCTGGATCGAATCAGTTTTAGGCACCTCAGCAGCAAGAGTTTTTAGATCTTCACTATAGTATGCTATCTTTATCTTGCCTCAGCTGCCATTGTCTCTATTATTTGCTTTTTTGTCCATCCATTTGCTTTTATGCTGCCGATTTGTTTTCTCCATGGTCCCACGTAAAATTTCTGAGAGAGAACATTTGGCTGGCCAAGATAGTTACTCTGTTTGGGCCAAGCTTTTCATGCTTCATAACTGTTGAACAGACTGTGGATTGGCTGCCTTAAGTCAGTATCTGCCACAGTAGTTCTGGTCATTTCTGGCCAGGGAAAGATGGCTGGTTGTGTAAAATATGGCTCGTCTAGGGCTCCCTCTTCAGCAGCAAGGTTGATTTGTCCTAGAGAAAGGGCATGTGATCAGTGTATACTCTGATCAATGTGTTTATAGCCAGTGCCCCTTTTTCCTTTTAAATAAAATCTAAAGAACTGGCTAGCATTGAAAATAGCTGTTGAATTTAGAGATTGAGTAGTACAGAAGGGGGAATATTAAAGAGAATGCTGGCATACATGACTTGAGAACAGTCCTTTTCTCACTGCTTTGTAAGCCTGACAGCCAACACATAGTCTTATATCTCTTGTCAGTAGCTTGGCTAAAATATCTAGTTAGTTAGGATTGTTAAAATCTTGCATGAGTTACTGATAAATATTAGGGCATTTTTTTCCCCTTGGTATTTAGGTTTGGCTTGAAAAGAGGTTTTTGAGAATTTTGCAAACCTCAGAATTTAGCAGACTCTTTTAAGAATATTCTCCGGTGTATGTATTATTTAACCCAAGATCAGTGCTGAATTTAAGGTATATGATGAGATGCTTATTATGAAAGTAAATAATTTGTAGTAAACCCAAAACCTGAAATATTATACTTAGTAATATGTGGATATTGGCAATAAAATTATATGTAAATACTTGTTAAATTGATTTTAGGTTGGGCTATGCAGGCTGCTGCCTATATCTTCATTCATAGGAAATGGAAGGATGACAAGAGCCATTTTGAAGACATGATTGATTATTTTTGTGATATCCACGAACCACTTCAACTCCTCATATTCCCGGAAGGGACTGATCTCACAGGTAAGGTAGCCTGGGTTTGGATCACAATTTTAAAACATGAGGGAACTTAGAAATCATCTAGTCTAAACTTCTTATTCCTCAGATGAAGTCACTGAACACCAACAAGATTAATGGCCCCACTCAGTTAATCAACAGCACATCAGAACCCAGAACTCCTGGTTTTCAGCCCATAGAATTATGATGGGCAACCCCAGGAGGTCATTCTTATTCATATTTGCTATCCTGTAGCTTTATATTTTGTCTTAGTATATATTTTAAATATCAGCCTTTTACTTTTATATAAGCCTAGTTATAAAATCCCCTTCCTGTTCTATATATTCTCTTTCCTCTTCCAAGATACATATTTATCCATTAGACCCTTTTTTCTCAACTTCTTTCTTATAAAGAAAAAGATCCCATAGTAACCAATTTCATTTATTGTTGATTTAAGTTAATATTTTACCTTTCTCTTGGTATTTTAAAGCCTTATCTCTCATATAAACAGGAAAGGCTTTGTCTTTTCCCTAAGAAAATTCAGCCATCATTGAGTTGTGGAGGGGACGCAGGAGGACATATTTTCTGCCTTCCCAGGTATCAAACTACATAGGCCAAGAATGCTGGTGGATTTCAAGGAATTCTTTGAAAGATTAAAAACAAAATACAGTCTTTCATCCTTACTAAATCAGTGGTTTTCACGTTTTTTTAAACCACAGGTCATTTTTGCAGATTAGTCTTCTATTACAGCCTAGGATTTAAGACAGATAGAAGAACTGCTCTGGTTGAATATTGGCAGGGGTGGGGCGGGGAAGACTTGGACAGAAAGCAGTTCTATAGATTCCTTCGACTCAAAAGAGCAAAATTTAAAAACTTGTAATATCCTGGTAACTTCAAGAACGTGCGGCAGAATTTGAGAAGGATCCAGTGGATGAAGGTCTGCTGTACGAGAGAAGACAGACTGAAGCAGAATAGAACTGAAATCTAAAAATCACAAGTAGTATGGAGAGGTGAAACATGAACTTGTCCTCCAGATCCCCCCAAATCCTCAGCACTAGATCAAGAGAACTAAGAACTACTACTGAGAAGGGCAACCCTTGAGCTTAAGAGAGGAGACCACGTAAAATGAACATACTAGTTCACTCTGTGGATATAGTAATTTATGGTACCCAGTACCCAGAAAGAGAGTTCAGGATGAAACATAGAAATTACTCAAGTATTTAAGTAAGTGAATGCGTAACTAAGCCATATATTAATAAGGGAAATTAAGGTATTTGGGGAAACATGAACCATTGATACTAAGGAAGAGATCTTTGACTTATCTATTGCAGATGAAACTGAGCTAAATGAACCGTGGCAATTTCTATATACTAGTATTATATATAAAATATTTGCTTACTGTATACATTTGATTTTTATAGTTAAAATTGTAAAAGTAGTTGGATCGAAGAGGGTACTACTGAGGATAATATTGCCTGCATATTGTTTAAGCTTGAAAACATATCATTGTAAGTTATAAGTTGATTGATTCCCAGAGCTAAACTATCATTAGGAAATTATAATGGATGGACAGACCACCATATTTAAACTTTATAATACTTAGAATGTGTGATACCTAAATTTGGGTATTGAAATATCAGCTATATTAAAGTAGAGAAAGTCATTTACTGAAATGATAGATTTATATTTGTGAATGCTAAAATGTACACTAAAGAAAGGCAGCATTGGAAGTTATTTAGTAATTAAAAGCTAATGGAAGAAAACTCATGGGTTGGTGCTACTTTGGTACATCAGTGTTAAAATGTTCATACATTAGACCTTCAGAGCCTATAAAGTACATATTTAAAACTTTTTTTGGTCTATGTTTTTTCTCAAGTGTCTTTTTTAGGTGATGAACTTAACATCTAGTTGTATATTTTCAGGGTCCAGAGTACTCATATTACGATGTAGTTGCGTATTTTTTAAATTAAAATGGTATTTACATTTTAAGGCCGACTTGCAAAAGCCAGACTATTTGCAAAATAGAAAAAACAGACTGATCCTGAAGCTTTAAAAAGTTTTTTTTTTTAAACAGTATTATACAGATAGTTTTTTTGTGTGTGTGAGGAGGGTTAGCCCTGAGCTAACATCCGTTGCCAATCCTCCTCTTTTTTGCTGAGGAAGATTGGCCCTGGGCTAACATCCGTACCCATCTTCCTCTACTTTATATGGGACGCTGCCACAGCATGGTTTGACAAGCGGTGCATCAGTCTGCACCCAGGATCGGAACCTGCAAACCCTGGGCCACCGAAGCGGAGCGGGCCACTGCGCTTTACAGGGCCAGTATACAGATAGTTTTGAGTTGGGATAAATGATTTCTTTTTAAAGTAGGCCAGCAAAATACCTTCAATTTTGAAAAAGTATCTGTTAATTCAAAGATGTTTTTAGTTACCATAGTTAACTTTAAAGTTGGGTTTTTAAGCCCAAAGAGAATGTTTCACAATCCTCTTTAAGTTCTGAATCCAGCTTGCTTGCACATTTTCAAATTAATGCATTTAAAATGTAACTTTACATATATTCTATCTTCATGTATTACTGTTGGTTATAACTTTCCTCTTGCTTATGGAAGTAATATGTGTTAATTTGGGGAAATTTAGAAACAGAGACAGCACAAAAATTACTATAATCCTACTGCCCATAAATAAACACCATTCTAATTTTTGTCCATTGCTTTTGAGTCATTTGGTCACACACACATATATATATATGTGTGTGTATATATATACACACACATAGGCATATATGTATGCATATATACACATAAGTATAATTTTAAACAAAATTGGAAAATTGGAATTACACTTTTGTTTGTATTTAATGTTATATTGTAATCTCTCACGTTGTTGTTTATTCTTTGAAAACGTGTTTTAAAGGTTGGGTAGTTTTATATTATATTTTCCTATTAGTCGGAGTTTGTCGAGAAAAACAGAACCAACAGATGTATGTATATCTGTGTGCGTATATATATATAGAGAGAGAGAGAGAGAGGGAAAGAGAGATTTATTTTAAGGAATTGGCTCATATGATTGTGGAGGCTTGGCAAGTCAAAAATCTGCAGAGTAAGTCAGCAGGCTGGAGACCCAGGGAAGAGTTGGCATTTAAGTCCAAAGGCAGACTGCTGGCAAAATTCTTTCTTGCTTGAGGAGGTTAGTCTTTTTCTTTAAGGCCTTCAACTGATTGAGTAAGGCCCACCAACATTATGGAGGATAATGTTTGACCAAATATCTGGGTACCATGGCCTAACCAATTTGAAACTTAAAATTAATGATCACAATTGGTATACAATCATGCACCACATAATGATGTTTTGGTCAACAATGGGCCGCATATACAACAGTGGTCCCATAAGATTAGTATCATATAGTCTAGGTGTGTAGTAGGCTGTACCATCTGGGTTGGCATAAGTATACTCTGTGATGTTCACACAATGATGAAATTGCCTAATGATGCATTTCTTAGAACATATCCCCGTCATTAAGCAACACATGACTGTACTATAATTTTGAGTTCTGTTTCCGTGATTTGGTAAGGAAAGCTTTTCTAGGTTTTAACAATTATAATATTCTGTGCAATTAAATAATATACATTTAATAAATATATGAATACCTGGAGCTTTATATACACAACAAAGTCCCTACTTTCATGAAGCTTTCTTTCTATGAGGAAAAACAGATAATACTAATAAGTTAATTAAAATGTCAAGTAGTCATAAACACTGTGCAGAAAAATAAAGGCAGATAAGGAGAGAGAGTGAGTAACAGAAGATGGGGGCATAGGATGCCATTTTATGGAAGGTGGTTAGAGAAAGCCCTGTGAGTTCCTGTTTAAGTGGAGACTAAATGAACAAAGCAGAGAAGCGTGCAGATACCGGAGTAAAAGGCATTCTGGGGCGAGGGAAGAACAGCTGCACAGAGCCTGAGGTGAGAACATGCCTCGCTGGTCTGAGAACAGCAGCGAGGCCGGGAGTCTCACTGCAGTGGAAGGAGTGCTGGTGGTGGAGGGCTCCAGGGAGGGAGCTGACAGACAGGAGGCTGTGGCCAGAAAGGGAGAGGCTAGTGCCATTACTAATGATCCCAGAGCCTGGGGTGGATAGAGGAAGTAGGATGGAGGGAAAAATCTGTATCTCTCATCTCTTTGTGTCTCTGGTTATTTCACCTTCCCACGTTGTGACTGTACATTTAGAACTACTTATACTTGTGTTCACATTCTACAACAGCAGAGTTCAGTTTTGTCTTCAGATCCCCAAAGTCTGTGGCAAACTGAAGAGGAGTTAACCGCCCGTCTTTGTAGTGTCCCTGGGAGTCCTCATTCCATGTAAGGGCCTGCCAGCTGTCCATAACATATTGTTCTGTAGTCCCATGCCCAGGGTATTCTCCTCAGATGACTGCGAGGGGAGCTCATTACTGTTCCTGTTAAGAGCCTTCACTTTTGACTTGCTGGGCATCTGTAGGTATTGAGTTCTTTGACCCAATTCCTCAATTATAAAATAATGTAACGCCTTTTATAGGAGTGTTCTTTGAATATTTTAGTGTTGTGGAATCCATCTGTGGTTTTTTGAGGTTTTGAGGACCCCGTGATCTTAAATTTATTCCGAGGAAAGTTGGGTTTATATATATAGTTTTGTTTTTTTTTTGGTGACTTGGAATAGTCTGTAAATTTCAGGATGCAGCTGAAGATTGCAGGTTCTAACATCTGCTGTCATCAGAAGGTATTTTTCATCATCTCCCCCAGCAGTTGAGGCCAAATTTCTGAACACTTTACTTTTTCCAAATATATTTGCTGAATAATGGGTTTGGTTCTTCTTGGAACTTATAAAGTTAGCTCATGGAATGGAAAAAGAAGTTATTGCCAACAATTGGAACATATACTTGACTCTGTAACTATATTCAGCCAAACCATGTTCAGATGTTTGTACATGATGTGCTAATCATGTGCCTGTCTGTTGTGGAATGGTTCTGGTTAGTAACGTTAGCATGCTCTGTGCCTGAGCAGGGCAGATATTTCACTTTGCACTGAAGCCCTAAATTATTGGGTTAAAAAAATGTTGATCTGATTTATTTGGCAAATTGCTAGTTATTTCTTTTGGATATCTAGATCCTTATGTTTTAGTAGTATTTTAATTTTATTTTTTTAGCCTCATATTTTAGTATTTAAGTTTTTATATGTAAGGACTATTTAATGAAAATTTTAGTTTATTAGTATTTTATTCGTATTTCAGTTTTTATTGTATATTGAAAATTTTATGAAATCTCGTAAAGAATTTTAAGGATTTGAATATGAATTTCAGGAAACTGTTATAAAAAGTCTATTAATATCTTAGAAAATTTTCAAAATTCTAATAAGTAGGCAACTCTGGGATCTTTGTTAGAGACTAACTACAGTGTTTATATCTTGTCATTTGACTCAGTATGCTATATTCAGTAATTACAGGAAAATAAAGTGCCATTTTTATCAAAGAAATGCTGCACTATTTCCTTACCTCACTTATCTTCCTTTATTTTATGGCCTCTAATGGTCTATTGTTTTGTTTAGAAAACAGCAAGGCTCGAAGTAATGATTTTGCTGAAAAGAATGGACTTAAGAAATATGAATATGTCTTACATCCAAGAACTACAGGCTTTACTTTTCTAGTGGACCGTCTAAGAGAAGGTAAGCACCCATCTCAAAGTGTACTTTTTTATATAAGTTGCAAAAATTGCTAAACTTTAGGGGCCAGCCAGCCTGGTGGCATAGTGGTTAAGTTTGTGCACTCTGCTCTGGCAGCCCAGGGTTTGCAGGCCCAGATCCCGGGTGTGGATCTATGCACTGCTTATCAAGCCATGGTAGGGCTGGCATCCCACAAGTAAAATAGAGGAAGATGGGCACGGATGTTAGCCCAATCTTCCTCAGCAAAAAGAGGAGGATTGGCAACGAATGTTAGCTCATGGCTAATCTTCCTCACCAAAAAAATAAAAAATAAAATTTGCTGAACTTTATATATAGCTCTTTAGAGTTTACAAAGCACTTTTTCATATTTTATCTCAAGAAATGAGATACTCTATTTTTATACTTAGTTGACGCCATGCACTAAAATGTTTTATTATGTATTTAGAAATATAAAAGATATGTTTGCGAAAACCCAAACATTTTTTCCCCTCTTTTGGAATAGACAGAAAATGATACATACAATTATACTATCATACCATTTTTAAATGTTTCTCAAAGCAGAAAAATTATCTTGAAAGTATCTAATCACTTAAATTATAGTTCTTTATAGCTTAAACAGTATTTTTACCTTCATTATTCCACTCACTCCAACAAAAGATTCTGGTGGTAGGAAGGCAAGTACTCTACCTCCACTTTATAGTTAAATAGGACTAGCATCCAGGGTGGGTAGTAAATTTCTGTAGGTCGAGGGTAGAACCTCATTATTCTGATTGCCGGTTGGTGGCTCATACTGCTATCTCACACTTCCTCTAGAGCTATGTCTATTGAAGGGCATGGGGGACAAGGTGATTCCGTTGACAATATCACACCCATTTAGAACAGTTCAAAGCTCAGAGTCGCCTACCAGAAGAAAAATCTTGTTTGCATGTTTCTGCATTCCACTTTGATTTCTACCAAACCGTATTGTATAATGGTGACATCTGTGACAAATTATCTGGTAATTGCTACATTGTCGTAAAACTGCTTGTGCCTAACATGAAAAGTCTTGAACCATTTTATAAGAAAAGGTGTAAAGTTCTTACTTCTTTCCCTAAACAGCATCACTTTGTTCCTTCAGAGTTTAATGTGCTTTAAGATACAAAGTATAACCTCAGTTAATGAACTCTGCCAGGAGGAAGCATCTTTACAACTGAGTACCCTTGATTTTAAAGAAATGTGTAGTCAGTTCAAAATCACATTGGTATAGTAAACCGAAAATGTTGTCCCTGTTAGTTTCGCTTGCTTTTGAAATTCTGTGGTTATAACCATAATATGAAATAGACTTGTGGGCATGATGGTTGTATTGTGTATGAATAGTGAGTATCCATCTACCTGAAGAATCTCATAGAGATGCGATTCTTCATGCCTATGGAATGGGACGGGGAGGCACCAAGATGTTACAGCAGCGATGCTTGTTTGTTTTTAAACATGGTTCCACTTACTGTGGCATCCAACTTAGACTCACCCTTCTCATTCAACAATATGTGTTTTATTTCCTCACATAATCTGATAGTTTATAGTATTTAATGATTTCTTTAAAGGTATTTCTGCCATCATGAAACACATTCATCTACTGGATTTCTCTGTTAACACAGTATGCTGTTGGAACACCTCTTTTGCTAATAAAGATCTTCCTAAATGTAGGCAGGATAATGGAGAGATTATTTTATAGTGGATAAGGATGTATCTATACAGTTCTCTGTTTTGAAGTCTAGAAAATATTTTAGTAGCAAAGTGATTTATAACTTTGGGGAATGTGTATTACTTAGTGATCACTCAAGGTACTAGTCAACAACCCCAGTCTGTCATTTTTCCTGCTAGAACTGGCAACTGATTTCCCTCCTGTCTCTATTGGTAAGAAAGAGAAACATAGTTAGATGATTGCATTTGCTTAAGTTAGAAAAATACAGTTAGATGATTCCATTTATTTCAGTTAGAAAAGTAGAATGGGACCTGTACACTATAGTAATAATAAAAATAAGAAATATGATTATGATTATAATAGTAACAGCAGCTAACATTTACTGAGCATTTACTAAGTACCAGCTATTATGCTAAGTGTTTTATATGCAGAAGTTCAATCAGTCCTCACAACAACCCTACTCGGTAGTTATCATTATTAATATTTAACTTGTGGGGCAAAACTGAAGCAGCAATTGAGGTGAAGAAGCTTGTCAAAGTTATTGGAATATGGTTGATCTGACTAAATATCCTGTGTTCTTTCTTTTATAACTTGGTGCCTCTTGTATTTATAGTTTGATTTTAGTTAACAAAGTCTCCAAATCATAAAGCACTTTTATAATAATAGTGAGCTGGATGGTTTTCTTCAAAAAAGATTTTTAAAAAGAAAAAAAAACAGCTAAATGGCCAGATCACAGAAGGATGGTCACAAGGGAGGTGGTTATGCTGCTGCTTGAGATAATAGGGGAAGCAGGCACACCCTAAGGAGGCATCAGGTGGAGAGTCGAGGGCAGCTCTGCTTTCGGGGGTAGGGGCTGGAGGTGTCAAGTGAACAGAAAAATTTTCATCAAGGATCAGAGGTGAAAAGGGGCTTAGAAATCATCTCGTCAAGAGTACCCTTTTAGAAAAGGAATCTAAGACTCAGAAATGGCCTAGCACAACTTTTTGATCTTTAGGCCCCTGAGATCTGCTTTTGATAATGGGTTATGTGAAAAACAAGTTTGCTGTTAAAACAAATGACCATTATAAATAAATTATTCCAATGGAATCCTGGAGACCACATATTAAAACAAATTACCATGAAGTAACTCTTTACTGCTCACGGTTGTAACTGAATTCAGTGTTGCTGACGTCCATTAGGCAGTCACCACAAATGGGCAGATGAGAAGTTTAGGACTCAAGAAGTTAAGGATAAAGTCTTACCAGGAAGCACTGAATAAGTGAAAATGCAAAACGAGGAAAGTAGTGTCTGTGCGTCTGTTTGTATTAAGAACATTTAGAAAACACACACTTATCCTGAAATATAACACCCATTATATAACGTTATGCAGATGTGTTGTTCCTGTAATAGTAATTACAAAAAGTTTATCCTGAGTACCTTGATTTCCACCGTTTGTGTGCTTGCTTTATACTCTTACTTCTTGAGGATATGGAATGTTCTGCACATAGAGACTCAATCAGTATTGGCTGAGTTAAATATTTTTTCTTTTTTCTGAAAAGTAAGACAAGCATAGTATCCTAGCATGTTCTTCTCAGTGCATTACATATTACACTGATAGATACCTGTCATGGATGATTTATTTCATATACTTCTTACCACAGAACCTTTCAGTATGTGATTATATAAGTTTTTTCAGTACTAGATTAACCCAAACCCTAAAGGAAGTCACTAACTTAGAGAAAAGAGGCTTTTATATGAGAAAGTTTGTTGTTTTTAATTACACAACTATAGTAAATTTATCACAATTTTAAAATTTTAACTCATTGCACCAAAATTAGTTATACTCATCATTATCTCTGGTACTTAATCACTTTTAACAATAATAGCTTATTCTTCTTTGATTTCAAACAAATAATGATTTGGTTAATTATCTGATTTTGTTAAATGCTTTGTAAGCCGATTACTGAGTTGTAACCATGTAACAATTACTTTCACCATTAGACGGCACAAGTGTGCATATTTGAAACAACTTGAAAGTAGACTAAAGTAGTAGTTGGAAGTGAGAAAGAAAACACTTCATATTTGTTTGAGGGTATGTCTCATTAAAGATATGACCTTGCCTTCAAGAAGTTTACAGTCTTCGTGGATAGATAAGAATAATACACATGGAAAAATCTAAAAATAATATGACAATAGAATTACATGCTAAGTTTTATGGTATATAATGTATAAATATTATGCTAAATAATTACAGGAGTGTTCAGTAAAGGTAGATCATGTAGCCTTGAAATACTCAGGTAAGGCTTCTTTAAGAAGCTACATTTCCCTTGGACCTTCAAAACCGTATGTGATTTGGATAGGCAGAAAAAATAAGGGTAGCTGAGGGCAGGAAAGGAAGAATACAAGAAGGGTACAGGGTTTGGGTCAGTGTAGAGCTGAGCAGTAAACTAGGCAGAACCAATCTGATTGAGCTGAAGACTTGTGTTGTAGAGTAACCAACAATATTTAAGAAGGTTGTCCAGAGCCATTATTATTGAAATTCCTGCCTGCAAATAGTCATGTTTTTAGTTTGTTCATTTCTAGATCAAGCCGCTCGAGCGAGTCACTCAACACTTGTGTTAAGACTCTAAAACATCATATAGATATATTTAAGTTTCGGATTTGAAATAAAATGTTTTTTAATTCAAAGTACAATAATCCATATTTCAATCCGTATTTAGCTCATATGCCTAAATTCTAAATATGAAGGAATGAAAGATGCTGTCTTTCTACTCATCTAGGGGATACAGGGTTAACCACTAGAGAAAAAATAAGTTCCCACTATGTAATTTGGATCAGCACACCTGATCAAAACTTTTCAGTGTCTATTCAGGGAGAGAGAATTGCTGACTTAACACCCAGATTACATATATAGTATCTGATAGTCCTGTGTTTGGCTCCCTCGTTTTGCTCTACAGTAGTTCTCATTTGCTCTTCAGTAGTTCTCATTTGCTCTGAGAAAGCTGGCGGTTACCTAGGAAGTAAAAGCAGTATACCAATCATAGACAGCTCAGTCTTCAACAGCGTCGTTAGGTCGTTTTAATTTCTTGGACTTGTTGCTTAGTGCGTGACTAACTACTGATAATCCACTCTGTTTCTTGCCTATTCATGGCTGTATATAGTGGGGGACTAAAGATGGCCAGCAGGAGCAACCACTGTCTGGCTCACACTCCGTTTATCTTAGTTGGTGAGCCTCCCCCAGGAGTGCATTTCGATGACCCTTCCTAACAGCCAGCATGTTGTAGGAGGCCAGGAAGAAAGGCAGACAGATAAACTATTGAAATATTGTGTGCATTAAATGCCG